CCCCTCACCGGAAACTCAACATATTTTTACTAATAGTTACACTTATTCGACTGTCTCATAATTGACTTGGCTCCGCACCCCTGACCAGCCTCAGCCGCTGCATTTGGGCTTTTTCGGGAGGCCGCTCGACGAGGCCGCACCTCAACGAGAAGGGATTACTATCCAGCTTCACTCCACCGTCAAGGATTGTTGATAAGCGTTTTAGGCAATAGGGAATCCGAAATTGAGCCATTCCAGCTTTCTGGCTGCAGGGTGCGAGTCCGGAGCTGCAGTGCTCAGGGTTTAAGAAAACATGTTCCTGCTATGCCGGACCCTCTCCACCCTGGCTCTGGAGGCTCGCAGTTCTCATGTGGATGACAGAGGCTACGCGGCTATAGAGAAATCGAGTGAAAAATCAGTCTGAAGCATTGCCTGTTGTGCCTAAAGACTGCGACAGTTTCGTCAAAAAGACCTGCCGGTACCTCAAAAGTGCATAGGAAGCCTGGCAATAATTGCAAAGAAAAGCGAGATGTTGCAACTTGCAACAGCAACATCTTTGCAACGACTCGCTACCCTCGCTACTTTGCACCTGTACATGTGGCCGTGCATGCGAGTCCTGCTCTTTGGCATGCCTCTGGAAGCCTCAGTGCTCGTCATCTGTACATACACGCTTGCGACTGATGCTGCCGGAGATTTCGCGCTTGAATGACTTGGTGCTCAGAGCTCCTGGACAGCTCCAGCTGCTCCAGCTGGAGTAGCTGAGTTATCGTCATCTCCACCACCTGTGCGGCGCTGCAGAAGTAGCTTTGGTGATGTGATGTTGATGCTCTATGGTGGAAGCACGGGCCGGACTTGAACAATGCCCGAGGAAAAAAACGGCATCAAACAGCCCTCCTACAAGGTGGAAAGGCAGGGCTTAGGGTCTTATTACCAGGTTGGAGCATTAGAGCCGGTGGACTGGACACAATTACTTCGATTCAGCAAGCATGACGCTGCCTAGCTGTTGGGGTGCAAAATGACGAAAACTGCCTTGTCTGAACCATCTGAAATTCCTCCCATTAGGCTTTCCACCTTAAGAATTGTGGGGCTCTATAGGCTCTGAGGCTTCGGCCGTCCGTCCGAATCTTAAGATCTGCAACAATTGAACTTACCCGCGCCTGTGCAGCTTCAAGCTCAGCGAGTGCGGACTGGAGGGCTGCCAAATCGGCGTGGTCTGTGCCAAGATGTTGTGTCCGGATCTGCAGACAGCGTTCCCATGATTCCTCCTGTAGCGCGAGCTCGCCCGCCTCACGGTAGAGGTGTCCCAGCGCTTTCAGAGTCTCTGCAACTTCCAGACTCTCCGACCCTTGCGTCTGCTCCTCCACCTTCAGAACACTCTGCAGCAGTTCGATCTGAAGCTGGATGTTGCCTTGGTCGGCGACCAGGTTTGCGTACTGCGAGCCAGAAAATCCCCGCGCCTGCTCCACAAGAGCGGCGCCAAACTCTACTGCGCGGTGCTGCAAATTATCTTCCACGATTTGGAGGGCGCGCTGTGCCCTTTTGGAATGCGGATGCTCCGCACCGCAGGTTTGCTCATAGGTGGCCAGTGCCAACACTAGCAGCTTCTGAGCCCTGCGGGGCTCCCCCATCTTCATGTGGGTACCAGCCAGATTGCTCAGTGCTCCAGCAACCTCTGCATCTTTCGGCCCATAGTGCTGCACCTTGATCTTCAGCGCCTGCTCCAGGAGCCCCTTCTTCTTGACCTGGTCTCCAAGCTCTCCAAAGGCAATTCCCAAATTGTTGAGTGTCTGTGCCACCTCCACATGTTCTGGCCCATAGTGCTGCACCTTGATCTCCAGCGCCTGCTCCAGGAGCTCCTTCATCCTGGCATAGTCTCCAACCTCTCCATATGCACTTGCCAAATTGTAGCGTGTCTTTGCCACCTCCACATGCTCAGGCCCACACTCCTGCACCCTGATTGTGAGAGCCTGCTCCAGGACGTCCTTCTTCTTGACGTGGTCTCCGAGCTCTCCATAGGCAAATCCCAAAATGGTAAGTGTCTTTGCCACTTCCAAGTGTTTCTCTCCGAAGTGTTTTACCATGACCTCGAGACCCTGTTGCACGAGGTCCTTCGTCTTATCATAGTCTCCTAGCAGCAGCCCATAAGCATTGCCCAAGTTGATGCGAGTCATTGCCACCTCCACATGTTCTGGCCCGTAGTGCTGCGCCATGATTGGGAGCGACTGCTCCAGGAGCTCCTTCATCTTGGCATAGTCACCAAGCTTCCCATAGGCACTTGCCAAATTGTAGCGTGTCTTTGCCACCTGCACATGGTCTGGCCCATAGTGCTGCACCTCGATATTGAACGCCTGCTCATTTAGCTCTTTCTTCTTGACCTGGTCCCCGAGATCTCCGAAGGCATTGCCCAAGTTGGCCATTGTCTTTGCCACCTCCACATGTTCAGACCCATATTTCTGCACCTTGATTGTGAGCGTCTGCTCTAGGAGGTCCTTCTGCTGGACATGGTCTCCCAGTGATCCACAAGCGGTGCCCAAATTTTCGAGCGTCAGTGCCACTTCTAAATGGTCCGGCCCGTAGTGTTGCCGTCTGATAGCCAGCGCTTTCTTCAGGAGCTCCTTTGTCTTGACATAATCTCCGAGTTGTCCGTAAGCAATTCCCAAATTGTTGAGAGCACTTGCCACCTCCACATGTTCCGGCCCGTAGTGCTGCACCTTGATCGGCAGCGCCTGCTCCAGGAGCTCCTTCATCCTGGCATAGTCTCCAAGCTCTCCAAAGGCACTTGCCAAATTGTTGAGTACTTTGGCTACCTCCACATGTTCTGGCCCATAGTGCTGCACCTCGATATTGAACGCCTGCTCAACGAGCTCCTTCTTCTTCAGACAATCTCCGAGATCTCCAAAGGCAGTTCCCAAATTGTTGAGTGTCTTTGCCACCTCCACATGTTCAGGCCCATAGTGCTGCACCCTGATTCTCAGAGCCTGCTCGAGGAGGTCCTTCTTAGTAACATAGTCCCCGAGCTGCCCATGAGCACAGCCCAAGCTATGAAGTGTCTCGGCCAGTTCCACATGATCTGCCCCATAATGCTCCTTCTTGGTCGCTAAGAGGCTGCTCCAAAGATCTCGAGCTCTTGCGGCCTGTCCTGTGTCAAGGAAGATCTTGGCCAGAACATGCTTTGCTGTCATGCAAAGTTCACTTTGCTCGCCAGAACTGTCTCGCGCCAGTGCATAGCAGACTTCCCTGAGGGGCAGCTCGCACCACGCCTGATGCTCCTGGGCCTCGACTAGTGAAGCGGCGCTGTCGACATAGAGCAAAGTCTTGAGTTCCTCCGGTGCCCTCTGTACCACAGCCGTCAGATCTTCATCTAGCGGCAGCCCCCTTCCGAAGGCTCGTTTACAGAGGCTGGCAGTTGCCATGAGCTCCTTGCGGTAGGGACAAAGCAACCCACTGCATTCTATGTTATCCCAGGGGGAACTCAATGCTCAGGTTGGGAACTTCAATGAGTTAGGATGGTCCATCTATAGCCGGGGGAGAGATTAAGGATCCCCATCTATGGGAAGCAAACAAGAGCCAAAGCCTACATCGCCTTGCAGGTGGTGTTTCTGAGTGTTTGAACCTCAGCGCTGGGCTGCAAAAATGGATTGCACTTGCAATGTGAGATTTTTGTTAAGATCCTTGGTCTTCGTCCTTGTTGTTTTGGAATTGAAATTTCAAGAGATCCTACTTGTGCACCTGGCTTTTTACAGCATTGTGCTTTTGAAAGTACGAATTACGAAAAGATTCCAATTAAAGCCCATCATAATAAAAAAACCCTAGCTCAGCGGCATGCCCTGGAGTTCCGTCCGTCCTGCCAGGAGATGACCCGGGGGCCCTGGATGTCCCAAACGAAGACATGCATCAGCTCCGGTTTCCGGAGGTACCCAAACTCCCATCGGCAGGCCTTCGACCTGAAAGGTCGACAGTCCCACGCGGACTCCTTGCACTCTTGCCTTCTGAGTTCGGCTCTCCAAGAGGTGAGGAACTCACTGCATGGCGCATGACTCAGCCCCAGGCTTGAAGTAGCCCTCGGTCAGTTGCAGGAGCAGGATACCGTACTTGGTGGCTTCAGCTGCCTGCCGATAGTGCTCGAACCTTGGAGCTCACCACAACACAGGAAACACAAGACCTCAGCCCTCTTGACATCACTGACTCGCTGAACTCCTGCAGCTACTGTGGGCGCTAAGCGAACGCATCACAACTAGGTCGGGAAACCAGCGTGGGAACTCGCCGAAGTGGCGCTCCTCGGAAACACAACTGCAAAGACTGAAACTAGGTGAACTAGGTGATTCATTGCATACGTGACATGGAGGCATGTAAATCCTCATCCAGGTCTGCAAACTTCGAGTCGTGCCGGCCACGTGCATGTCCGTCCACCACGTGCAGGCCCATCCCCAGCGAGCGGTCATGGCAGAACGTGACAGGGCCTGCGCTGCAAGCTGGATCCACATTAGCATGCTTGAGGACCGACTTTAGAGTTGCTGCGCAGACCTACATGACTACATGACCTACCATGCTTCAAGCCGAGGGGCGGATGGTGTCGCCGAAGCGAACGGCTTCGCTGAGCGCTGTCAAGATTCGATTGTTCTCCATCGCATCCGGCGTGGCGAAGGATAGGAGGAAGTCTGCCTCTGCCGCCGCCGTCTGGGCTTTGGGCTCACCCTTGGCTTGCCATCCGATGGGCTTCCACTTCCGGGTCAGCAAAAGACTCTGGCACAGTGCAGCGTCGGTGGCCAGCCGGTCTGCCTCATCGTAGTACTTCTTGGCCTCCTCGCGCTGCCCCAAGATATCCAGTGCAATGCCGCAGTTATTGTGAGCGGTAGCGCACGTCGGGTCCAGGGATATGGCCTTGGCGAACTCGTCTGCAGCCTCTTGGGCGCGCCCATCAGAGAGGCGCTGCCAGCCGCGGCTCATGATGCGGTCCGCATTCTCTTCAAGGACATTGACGGCGTCTGCGTCCTCCCTGTCTACCTTGGACAACCCATTCCCAATTCCCAGGAAGTGTATGCACAGTCAGCCAGCTGAACATCATCCTGATGCCTGCTGCAATGAGTGCCGCGGTTTCGGAAGTCTGGCCCAAGTAGCAGTGGCTTTTCCGCAACATCCCAGCCAATCCCACCTGACAAGCAACTGCAGCCACCACGACTTTCGCCAAATGAGCCCCGGCCTCGCGAAAGAACCCAAATTCTGTTCAACCGGTTCGCCGGCCGTCAGAAGGCATCGACTCCAGGCTGTGCTGCATGAAGCTGCTTGTCCTGCTACATGGGGAGACCGAGGCCAAGGTCGAGGTGGCCAGGTATATGCAAGCGTTGCAGCAGGCATCCGCGAACACCGCAACCACCACGCAGGCTAGCAGTAGGGCCTCCACCCATCAGCTCGCCAAGCTGCTGCTGACTCTGCTTCTCAAGCTCCTCTGAGCCGGCCTCGTGGGAAGCATCTGTAGTCACACTGCAGTCTCTAGACACATCTGCAGGGGGCAGACATGGGCAGACCAAGCCAGCAAGAGCAAGTGCCACAAGCTCATACAAAAGGCCTTGACCTGCGCGCCCGCCGCCGGGGTCCTGGTGCGCAACAGACGTGGGCATGCAGCTGAGGTGCTCTGGCCCCACATCGGCCCATATCTCAAGTCCTAGCTTTTTTTTGTACTAAACACATCCTCCGCCGGGTGCCTGGAGCCCTGTGCATACCCAAGGATCCCCGCACAGCCCTTAAGTGACCCGAGAAGATCTAGTCCTTGGTCGTTCTGGAAACCACGAACGAAAATCTAGTTTCCCTTGCCTTTGTATGACATGAACAGATCGACCTACAATATACTTCAAAACTTGTCAAAGAACGCCCAGGGTGGTCCACCAGATCTGGAGTCGAAAAAACATTTAAGAAAATCCCGTTGCACTCGTCACTTGTGTGGCTTTGACGGCTTAACAAAGTTGGACGAAGGAACAACAGGGTAGAATCCCCACAACCTTCCCCTTACTACGCTTCCCCTGTTCTGAGCCAGCCAATAGGTTGAAGTGGCGCCTGGGGCTTGGCAGTTTGCCAGGGCTGATTTTGCCGCGGCGATGCGGCGCTACGTTGACAGTGATGCCCAGAATTGGTTCAGAATTCATTTGTCTACTTTATGTTTTCTTCTGGGAATTTGTTGTTTGTTGATACCCAGAAAAGATGCCTTGAACATGCAGTTCCCTCAGGATCACAAAGGTTCTTTCGCCACGGGCCTAGTACGGCCCAGCAGGCGCGGCGAGCCATCATTGTCGCCCCCTTGAACACCGGCCGCTGGAACCTCCTGGCTTTAGGACGCTTATACGTTCTATATAATATGCAATATATAAGATACTATATATACAATCTAATATGTAACATAATTAGTATGGCTAAGTGGAAAGTACCGAGGAGCATTATAGTAGAAAGCGCCTTTTTATTGAATTTCAACTCTCCCATGTATCACTCTATCACACTACACAGGCAAATGTTGACTTCATATTAAGAACAACCCCCACATTCAAAAATCCCGGGCCCGGAACACAATTATGACAACCTCCACAATGATAATATCCCCGCGGAATATTTCGGGCCCAGAGTTTGCAGTTAGACTACTTCGTAACCAGGATTTTCGCCATTATTATTCAGGGGGCCCCCGAAACCGAGATTGATCAATCGAGGGGGGGGGGGCGGTTATTAATACGAAGTCAACATTAGGTATCAAATGTGTTGGTAGCCAGGCGGGGCATGGTCATGGGACCCCAGCACCACGGGCCCAGCATTGGATCCCGAGCAAAAATTTCATAGAGGATGTTTCAAGACTAATCGTCGGGTGCGTAATACTATATAGCCGATAGCGTATACTATCTAGACCTAAAACCCTGCAAATCACTTCCCTGGTTAAAGGCTGTTCTCGTGGGAGGCCTGCTTGCAAGGTTGTTGTCTGATTTGTATTTTGGGGAGCTGAAAGAGGAGGGTGCAGTTAGGAGTCAGTGCAGCACTGCTACCCCTGCCTCCGTCTCGGCTGCTTGAGGTCGGCCATCATCTTCGTCCTTCGGCCGGGTTTCCTCCATGCGGTTGCCTTCAGTTGGTTCCTCATCGCTGCAAGCCGCTTCAGCAAAACAAATTGCATCCGCAGCCGGTTCGGCCAAAGAGGCAGCCTGAGAGGCAGACGCTCCAGCACACTGTGGCTCACAAACAAAAGCAGCGGCATGCGCAGCCCTCCACATGCCCATACATTGCCAGCCGGAAGCAGGGGCGGAGGATGCGCAGCCCATGAAGCGCTGTCTGACAGGACCGCAGCACCTAGTCAGCAAACACTTTGTCAAAATGAAGCGCTGTCAGGCCCAACGGCCCTGTGTGGGGTGGACCTTTTTTCAATTCAAGCAAGGCCGCACCCCCGCCTCCGCACCCAGGCTGCAGAGCAAGCACTCTGTTTCAGGCTTGCATATTAAGGTACAACATCGACTATATGTGTGTCCGCTGTGGTCTGCATTGATCTCATGTCGGCTTGCTGCGCTGGACCACTTCCCGCTAGTAGTACTACAAGTATATATAGTCAATCACTTTCCTCAAGATCTGGAGCCGTGCGCAAAGCATTCCAAGAGCGGTCAAGCAAGCAGTTCTCAAGCGCAGAATTCGCGTCAAGCCGCTATTCCACCGCCGCACGCTTTGGCATCATAGTCGAGCGCCTGTTTCGGGCTCCTGCCAAACCAAAATGCAAGGACCGCAAACGCTCCGAACTGCATATGCTCATGGACAGTGCGTCCTGGAGCTTGACCCCAGGCACCCAAAAAGGATCTGCACCATTTCCCATGTTGTCCAAAGGAGGAGCAGCGGCACCAAGTAGCTGAAAACGGTGGTCCTGCGCTCTCTGACACAACACAACACCTCATCCATCGTCACCTTCTCATGAATGCTGAATGCTGCCAAGCGGCACAACAGTTTCGTACTGGGAAACCATGGCGTTGGCAAGCATGCATATAGTGCAGAAAGTGTTGACAGCAAGTCCAGTTGGAACTGGAGCCGAGGCTTATGAGCTCGTCCAATTCAGATCTGGTGGTCCGTAGGAGCTAAAAATTTGCATCGCGTGGACAGGTGGGTTCCGGGTTGTTGCCAAGGATTGGAGCTGGCTTACTCCATATCTGCACGTAATTAAAAGCTCTAAATACTTAATTGGAACATGGCTATCGACAACTCTATGCTGCAGAAGGACCAGGACTTTGGCAAACTTCCGACCCCATCTGCATCATGAGCAGGTCGGTTAGTAGCTCTGAACTAAGCAATGCACTAAAATGAAGACAAGGAGGCGGTCGTCTTCGACGACAGCTCCTCGTAGCGGCTCGCCAAGCTGGCGGCGCTCACACCCTTCTCGCATGCGCTAATGGCCGCATTGTAGGTCACGTCCTGAGTTGAAAAAGCGGGACGGGGCCCTGTACTGTATCATTGGACTGTGCTGCTGGGGAAGCTAGAGCACGAAGAGTTTTATGAGTTGTGAGGCCCATGGTGAGACTCTTAGTTAAACCCAAACCACGCACCACCTACTGCTTGACGATAACCGATAACCTTCGCCACCCAGCGCGGGCGCCATTATGTAATGTGATTCCCGGCCCTGTCAAGTTCAAACCTCGCGTTTCAGCCAACATGTCTTTGAGCTGCATGATGCTGAAGAATCTTAACATTGCAAGTCAACCACCTGGCCCCACATAAGGTTGTGAAAAACCAAAGCCGGAAGCCAGCCCACATAATCCCTCCCCCGTTTACCAAACCCCTCCTAATATCAAATATTGTTTCGGAGGATCCCGTTTTTCAAAAAGTGCCCGGAAAACTAGTTTAATTAGAGCAAGACTAATGTTAATTGCGGCCCCTACCTGCCCAATTAGGGGGACGTTAATTAGGAAGACTTCTTTCACTAAAATTAATTGCGCCCCGCGCCTGCCCCCGAAAATACCCCCCCCCCACCTAATATCAAATATGTTTGCCCGGAAGCAATATATCTAATATTAGGGAGGGGGGAGGGGGGCCGTATTTAATATTAGGGGCAAGCAATTACAGGAGCCTTGCAAGCACTTGGTTTGTGCTCGTCCATTTCTGGTATAGTCCAATGAAAGCCCGACGCCCCTAGAGCCTAAATCCAAATTTTTAGCCCCGAGCCGGTCCTACACCCCAAGCCCCATGCAAACGCTAAGCAATGCGGGCCCGAGTCAGAGATCTCCACGGAAGCAGCGCCCAAGTCCGGCAGCAGCTGTAGCGCCAAAGGCCAGGCGAGGCCCCTTTCGCACGCCGTCACCTGAGGTGTATTTAGTCAACACCAGGGCTTAAGGTCAAGGGCTCAGACCAAAGATTCTTATAACCACAACAACACAACGATTCAGCAGGTGGCCGCTTGGATACAGGATAGGAGCCCTGCCCTCTATACTCCTTAGCTACTGTACCCGAGTTCTCGATTCTGGTTCACTTGACGGTTGTCCCGCCTGAAACGCCGATGCTAATCTGTGTCTGCGACTCAAACTACTGCCTCAAACAAAACAGGCCCATTTTTTCAAGCTCCCCGCTATATCGGAAGCGTCAGTAGACACCCGGTCAGGAAATACACGTGATATCTCAATGCGGGTTCGTGACTGCCACAAAACCTTGCAAAGCGTTGATAGAAACGTCTCACCTGCCAAAAATGAAACGAACACGCAAAAAAATCTGAAACCAAGGTGACGGTTGGGTCTCTAAGGGGGTAAGGCGCCTGCACAAGTAGCAAATATGTGTACAGTACCAGAAGCTAGTGCCATGCAGAATCCAGGTGCGTCCTTTTGGCTCATATCAAATATCCCATGAGTTTCGTGCAACTCCCGGCAACACGAAGCGCAATGGCACAGCCATATCCCCGCTGCCGGATTTTGAGGGGAAGTCGGCGCCTTGATAAACAACACCAGCGCCATCCAACAATCCTGCAAACCTGCGCCTGAAAAAGGAGGACCTCTGATTTGACAAAGGCAACGGCTGCGAAAACGAAAACCGTGACAAGGGTTTTATGCTGCAGAGTCTAACAGAATCGTAGCTTCCGCAGGCCCTTCCCAAACTTGCCCGCAAAGCAGAAGGAAAGATTATGCAGCCAGGTCTCTTTACTCTTTTGACTATGTGACTCACCAAATAAGAGTCCCCCAAGCTTCACTTCTGACAAGCCGCCAAAGCGTTGTAGAGGATGCAGTGCCTGTTCTTTAGGATCTGGACGTTGGGATTTGGGTATCCAGGGTTTCAGGACTTCTATGGACTGCTGAGGTTCTTGAGTACTTTATGGGGTTCTAGCTAGATCTTACCGGCATGAGCTCGAATCATGGATCTGTGCCGCTGATCGTAACTCTTCTAGCGATCCGAGCATCCCCCATCCCCCTCGCACACACGCGGCCAGCCCTATAGAATCCCCTACACGAAAACTGCACTGGGAACACAGTCCATGTTTGAAGCCATGCCGTGTGTATCTACATCTATAGGGATGTGTGTGTGTGTGTGTATTATATACCCTGGTGATACCTGCTGCATGCGCTCAAGTACTTACGCATATACAAACAACAGCCCCCCAACCAAAACCAAAGTCGTTAACATGGCCTTTCCAGAAGTTGGCTCTGCCCGTCCACCAGTAGTTGCGCTGCAACGCGCCACTTGGCGTCCTCTTCGAAACGGGGCTATGGAAAGCGCGTGCAGACACAAGGCTTAGAGGGCAGCGCAGGTAATCTCTGCAACCATGGGCCCTTAGTAAGGCCGTGTGGGCTGGAATGCTGCTACCCGAAACCATGTAAGAAACTTGGCTACACTTCAACACACACTACAAAACGAGCAAGAGCAGGCTAAAGGATCACTGTGGAGCACTAGAAGTACTAGTACCCCAAAACCCGGAGCCTAAACCCGGAACCTTAAACCCTAAATAATGTGTCACACTCCTTGCCGCAGGAAGCCAAGGCTGTGCCGCACGCAACACTGTCGGCACTGGGGGCCACCAGGAGGCTTAGAGCCTGCGGTTGTTGGCTGTGGGTGCGCTTGAGACCACGGTCTTTTCTGTTGCATGAAGGACCCCGTGCCCGCCCGCAGGCATAAACAATTATCAACATGCTTTTGAGAACATGTGCCTGTGAGGTGTCCTAAACCGTAGTTTTTCTAGGCAACATAGTAGGACCAGAACATCAGTAGTTGTGTGAGATCCAAAATAGGGTTCCGACAGATTCCTCGATTCTGCCGGAACCAGCCGATGCCGGAAGGCAGGTGCTCCAAGCTGGCTGTGGTAGGGACCCTTGCTATCTCCCCGGGGCTCCTGCCCTCGAGAATGGTCATCT